AAGTCTTTGTCCAGCTGCTGCTTTAAGACTGCCAGGGAGGGGGAGCCCACCACCTCCCCAGGCAGCTGAGCTCCCCCTCCCTGGCAGTCTTTGAGCAGCGGCTGGACCAACACTTGCCAGGGATGCTCTAGGCTGATCCTGCATTGAGCAGGGGGTCGGACTAGAGGGCCTGTATGGCCCCTTCCGGCTCTGTGATTCTAGGATTATACGTCATTTATATCCACCTTTTTTCCTAACGGGCACCCAAAGTTGCCTACAACTGTCTGCCTCCTCCATTTTACCCTCACAACAGTCCTGTGAGGTGGGCTAGGCAGAGTGTGCGTGTCCGGCCCTCCGTCACCTGGCCGGCTTCCATGGCTGCTCCTTCATATACATCACTCGTGTGGCAGGGGAAAAGCTCTGGCTCCCCCTTCCCTTGCTCTGGTGATTTTTTATTTTATTTTCCAGGAGTTTTTAAAGATAGGGGAGTATTTCAAAGTGTGACCCTCTGTCTGCAGTGGTACAACCCATCCTGCCACCTTGGCATCCTACCCCCTTATGCCCACCTCACTTTCTGGCTTGTGTCAGCCAAGCCTAATCTCTAAGCGCATCTAGTCCCTTGTCTGTTCTAATACATGCACATGTGTGTGTGTGCGCGTGCGTGAAGCTGCTTTGCTGGAAGTCACTTGCTGGCTTGTAACTGCGTTTGTGCGGGGCCTCCCATCTCTGGGAAGAATGTGTGCTTGACCTTGGACACCAGTCACTGCTAGATACTAAGCTTGCAGAAACCTCTGTTAATGATTGATAGTATGCACTTGAAGCAGTCTTGAAAGAATTTTAGAGGGTAGCGCATAGCTGCTCTTCACATAACCAAATGATGTAAGCTAGAAAAGAAGAGGGAGTAGAAAAAATACAAAAGGGTGAGTTGTTTGAGGGGATTTTTTCCTTTAAAAACAAAAGTATTCTGATCTCTGTTTTGGGTGCATTCAGATTATAAGTGGTGAAAATTTTATGTATTTTTGTATATTTTCTAGTGTAAGGTCTCATCCGATGAAACCTTGAGTGAAACGGTCCATTGAGCACTGTACGTCAGAAAGAAAAACTTGAGACCAATTTACTTCAAAGAAAACACCTTTATGATTTGTTATTCACTGGATAATTAAAGAAGATATATTTTTCTTTAACAAGGTTTTGTTATCGTATCACTGTTGTTTTTCCTTACAAAGTTCACTGCTAGATACTAAACTTGCAGGTACTGGGGGAGGGTTAACAGTACACTGTAGATTTTGGTGTGATTGGACTGGTCACAAGGGGGGGCTTTTTGAACTATATATAATACCAGAACTGGTGCCAAGGGAGTCAGTTCTGACACAGATCATCTTAGTTTGAAACATCTTCATCTCTCAATAAACAAATCACTGCAAATAGAGTGCTGTTGGGAGTAAGTTTGTTCAAGAGTCTGAGACCGTGCAGCATACACCCTACCACTTTCTACGCAGCACATTTTAAACCGCTGGAATCCTAGGACAGTCCCCCGCCAGTATACCTTTTCTATAACCCGTTTGGCTTTTGAACTGGTGGCAGATCATCTGTGCTTTTGCAAAGGAAGCCCGTGAAGCCGGCAGTGGGGACATTGCTGTGAGTCTGGAGAAAGAGTAGTCACCTTCCCTTTGCCTAATTTCATTGAGCATGGACAAAGACCGGGTAGGGCAACTCCGAAAGGTTATTGAGATGGAACTGATGCCTGGAGGTGTTGCATGAAATAGGAGACAACTCCTTCTTTACGCACAGTGTGATCACTGCAATTGCAATCCTTTGATCTATTTGCACAAGGCAGTCTCGGGGACATAACAGGCCTTGGAGCAAATTAGCCCTTACTCTGATTTAAAGGACTCTCAGACCGATTTCACACAAGAGCTGTGCCAGGGTCATGCCTCCTTTTGCCCCACTTCTATTGGTCAATTTCCCACTCAAAGCCACGTGGCTACATTTTGACCCGCGGCTTCGCCTGATTTTCCCTGCGGTTTCGTGATCCTCAAAAAACAGGATCACAAAACCGCGGGGGAAATCAGGCGAAGCCACAGGTCAAAATGCAGCCGCGCGGCTTCGAGTGGGAAATCGACCAATAAAGGCGGGGCAAAGGGAGGCGCGACCTCGGCGCAGCTCTTGTGTGAAATCGGTCACAGAGCTAGATCAAAAATATACCAAGAAAAAATATGACAGTAAATCAAGAATACTATATTTGATTGTATGCATATGCTTGCATTTTACATACATGAGATCAAACCCCCCCCCCCAATAAAAAACACTGGCTGTGGGCTTTCAGCAGCCCTCTCAAAGCCACTGGTTGGGTAGCTATGATGTCGCAGAATGTTGTGAACATTCCATCTAATGAAAGGACAGGTATCAAAGAGTGGGTTAGCTTGAAGGACAATCTTGCATCAAAAGACGCTGCAATGCTAGAAGCACACTCGAGTTGGAATCACAATTTGATTGGAAATTGGGAACGCCATACTTGAATGCCCAAGCAAAAAGAATACTTATTCTAGCCGACACTGCAAGTTGTACTGCACACATTTTGCAGATGGGCATTTCCGGATCCACCCAACACTCCTGCAGAGCAAAATGTTAATTTGGGATGGGCTTTCCTTGAGGTGGGGATAAGGATAGGGACAGCAATTTATTTGTTTGACTGATTCCTTTGATGCCTTGTCCTTCTCCCCAGCAGAGCCCAGTGACGTGGGTCCTGAGTTCTGCGGGGGAATATGAATCAGAAACCTTTACAATTCAAATTTAAATAAACAATTAAAATATTTAAATAAAGTTAGCATGATTCAGTTTGCAGCAGCAACAGCCCTGACAGCCACAGACTGACAGGCTCTATTTACACACAGGGGGCGGAGAATTTCCCGCAGGAGAAAGATTCAGGGGAATGCTCCACCCCATGTCACGAGCAGCTGGCATCCTCCTCCTCGCCTCCGTTTGATCCTCCCAGCAGCCCTGCAAGGCAGAAAGCGTGTCCCTGGCCGGGCATGGAGGGCTCTCTCTCTCTCGTGTCCTCCTGGCTGCCTGGACAGTTACAAAAGTGGTTGGAGCCAGTTCGGTGTAGTGGTTAGACTCTAATCTGGGAGAACTGAGTTTGATTCCTCAGTCCTCCTCCACATGCAGCTGCTGGTGTGTCCTTGGATCACTTACAAGTTCTCTCCGAGCTGTTCTCTCAAGGGCAGTTCTCGAAAGAGCTCTCTCAGCCCCGCCTACCTCACAGGGTTCTGTTGTGGGGAAGGGAAGGGAGTTTGTAAGCCACTCTGAGACTCTTTTGGGTAGTGAAGGGCGGGGTATAAATCCAATCTCCTCCTCCTCCTCTTCTTCTCCTTAATAACAGTACTTTAATAGTAGTAATTACGGTTAAGGCTACTCCTAACATCATGGCGTGGCACGTGGCCTGGTTAAACCCTGGTTAAGTGATCAGGATCCTGGCCTGGATGGCCCAGGCCTTGGATGGGAGACCACCAAGGAAGTCCAAGGTCTCCACGCAGAGGCAGAAAATGGCAAACGGGCTCTGACCTCCTCTTGCCTTGAAAACCTCGAGAGAGGTCAGCATGAAGGCCCCACACACACACACACACACACACACACCGTGATCAGGGGCTCTGGTGCTGAATCTAGAGAGAGATACGCATGACTGGGAAACTTCGCTTGTGAACACATGAAGCTCCCTCAGACCAAGTCAGACCCAGCCAAAGTCTACTCTGACTGGCAGTGGCTCTCCAGCGTCTCATGAGTCAAGACGTCTTTTGCATCGCATTTGCTGCTGGTCCTTTCAATTGGAGACACCAGAGATGGAACCCGGAACCTTCTGCAAGTAAAGCAGTCAGTCTCCTACTTCCCAGTTTGGTTCTGCCCTGAAAGGCAGCCAGGAGTCAGCCAATGCAAGCCCCAGCATCCCGGGCAGGACTGCAGAGGCTGCTCGGATGGGAGGCTCAGGGAGGTTTGCTCGGCCTCTCCTCCCACGGCGCAGCTCAGGCTTTCCCAGCCCGGCTCCAATCAGTTGGCTCCTGAATGCTCCTTCTCAGCTGTGGGGTCTTGTGAGCAAAAACTCTACTTTGAGAGCTCCTGGCATTAAAGCTGTGAGTGAGCGATTTGGCTACTGCATCAATTAGTTTGCTCTGGAGCCCTCCTTCCTGAGCTGAGACAGAAACGTGTGAGCCAGAGGCTAAAAAACTGTGAGCTGGCTCACACTAACTCAGCTTAGAGGGAACACTGCTGAGTCATTTTTAAAATCCCCAGTCCGCCTCAGGCTGCACAGAATCCCCTGCCATGACCTGCCTCACAGGTTTGGTGCAGGATGGGGGAAATGGTGCAGTAATAACATGTAATGACAAAAAATAAAAGGAAACTTTCCGTTAGAGGAATATATAAAGGGGCCACCGTACGGGGATGTCCTTGCACAGAAGGCCTCCCAATGGCACATGTCGTTTAGGACTGACGGTGAGCGTAGCCCTTCCAGTTGAGAAAGCCGTGGATTCACCAGCTCAGGCTGAGAAATGCACGGGGCGAAAAGGCACCAGACAGTGAGAAAGGACTTTAAAATGCAGTGTGTCCTGCTGCCCTCTAGAGGCAGACCTGAGGATGTCGGCTTCTAACATGAGAGGTACTGCTGAGAAAGACTAATTTTTCTTTAAATAAAACGAGGTTGCAGCCTTCCTTGAAGAATCGGGCCCACAGCTCTGTGGGGCTTGTAGATCTGGCCTTAACAGCGGCTTGCATTCTGCCAACTCTATTTGGTAAGGCCACCTGCAGGCTTCCTGGGAATGGAGGGAAGTTTGGCCAACAAACGGAACCCAGAACATGGCCAAGCGCAGTCCCCAGAACTATGTTTCTTAAAACTGGATTCACAGAACGCTTCTTTGCTACTGCCAGGGGATGCTTTCATTTAAACCCGCAGCATACACTTTAACTGACACAATGTTTTCCTCTGACACCACTTATAAGCAACAGAATGATAGAGCGACACTCCCGGTTTCCATATATGTATTTATTTGAAATATTTATAGGCCATGTTTTCTCCACCAAATGTGGACTGATAACTTTGTGTCGAAAAGCTGCCTTTAGATCCAAGGATTTCCAAATATTCTCAGACGTCTAACAACAGGAAACTAAATTCAGTATCCAATCCAAGTCCTGTACATCCTGGTGATTGCAAAATGGTTTCCCAATATCTGACTGCTCCCTGTAGACTCAGCTAGGAATCTTGGCTCCGCGTTTCACACCGTTCATAACTTAATCAGAATTTCTCCTCCTTCATAAGGGGCTTCCTATCTGCCTCTAGATACCCAGTGACCACAAAAAGCTTCTGAATAGACAAGCTGGAGAACGGAGGGAGGCGTTCATGATCCTTAGGTCTACAAAAGAGGCTCCAATCCAGTCGTCTCCCATCGTCTGTTGCCTCCTTTCCCATAACGTCCTCTACTTCTGTTTTTTATACTGAAAGGAAATATATAGCAGACTGACAATGTTAGTCAATACAAGAGGGGGACCCGCGATACTCGCGGGGAGGGGGAGAAGAGCTCCGTCTCCTCCATCCCCCCCCCCCCCTCGATCCCCCCCACTCTGCGGCGGG